CACAGGTTCAATAGATCTGACTTCAGACTCTGCTGATGGTCTTAGCCCATCCAGAAAGAGGATCAGAACTGTCTGTAAATGCGGAGCTGTGTGTTGCAGAGGTTATCTCAACTGAGTTCGGGTATCCAAAGTCACAATTACTTTGTTCTCTTCTAAACGTGTTTTAAGAAGAGTCTTCTTTCACACATATATTCAAGCATTCTTACATCTAATGTAAATAAGTACAGTGAAAACAAGGCATTACGTTTGTAACTGAAATGGCGTTGCCCAAAGAAAGAGGCGTAGTGTTTCAGGCAAATACAAAACTGATAACGGGGATTAAAAACTGATTTTTCTAGATCTGTTATTTAGGAAGCAGTACAATGTATGCTAAGAAAACTCTTTAAAAAAAAATGTACCTTGATTTGAACATTCGAGCGTGAGCTTACAGCCGTAGGCCTTTTAGGGACTGATTTCAGTGGGGTGAAGTGATGTTACATACGTTCCATACCTTGAAAAGTCTGGAGGCATTTGATTTGAATCCTAAATCATAGGTGACATTTCTTTTGCTTTTTTTGTTGTATAAAGAAAACTCTCAAGAGATTAGCAATAACACTGATGGCACGGGGGTGAAGGATTAAGGGCAGCCATCAGACGCCATCTGAATGAAGGTTCACAGGAACACAAACTGTAACGTCCCCGTTGAACTCCGTGCAAGCAAAGCAATTGGTTTTAGCAGGTTCCAGGTGTAAGATCAAGGTCTCGAATATTTTTAGCTGATGTTTTGTCATTTAGAAGTTTTACAAATAGATTTATTTTTTTTTTCTTCGATTGTTCCGTTCTGATTGTTAGTTAGGATGCTATAGGAGGTCTGCAGGCCTACAGAGAATTTGTAAATACCAGATTATCCGTAGTAACATGCGCTGTTTGTTTTCATTGCAGAAACTTGGCAGTCCTTGCTGAAACAAATTACTGGCTACAGTTTGGAAGTAGATAACAAAAGAATAGGGAGAGCAGCCCATTGCCTGACAAAGCTGATGCATTTACGGAGATGCGCTCAGTTATCTGTTAGGTGCAAAAATACCCTGGGAAGTGATTTGTATTTGCAACGGGTTTTGACTAAGTTTTTACATACTGTGACTTCCTTTTTTTTTTTTTTTTTTACCTAGTGACAGACTTTTAAGACACTAGGCCTGTTGTTTTTTTTCTTGTTGCAAAAATGTTAACTTCACTGAAGTTAGACTAAGGGTGAGTTTACCCATTTGCTGTAGACGTTTGTAAGATGTTCTTGAATGTAAAGGCTGAGAAATGTACTGTTTGTCAGCTGCTTGAGTCTTTTTCCTGATCATCTTAAAGTTGTCTCAATCTGTTCGTAATGTATGCTAAGTTTGCTTGGCTTCAAAACCACGGAAGAGCAGTTGAGGTAGGCTATGAGTGGAGTTACAGCCCAGGTTCGTGCTCCAGGGATGACTTAAGTGCTTTATTCTCATGGATTAAAAGCTTGTAAAACTTGCATATTGCTTACAAATCATGTAAATGTTGACAGGGTCAGGCAGAATAATGTTGCTCCATAAATGGATGCTAGCTATGTATCATAGGTCAGCCGGTGACCTTTATAAGGTGCACGGCTGTTGGCTCAGGTGAATGAAGTCGAGTACCCAGCATATAACAGTTTCCTTCATTTGTTAGAAAATGCCTTAAATTTCATGTTAATTCCTAGCACTCCAAAAAGAGTGTTTCCAAGGATAACGCAGGTTGGTTGTTCATTAAGAAGCACGGTTGCATGTGCACTGAAGACCCAGCTCTTTGGCAGACAGCGACATTCTGTATGCTACTAGCCAGAATCAGTTTCACAGTTGGGGTGATGAGTGTGGGCCGCTGAAAGTGCTGCATAAGTTTTGTAATCTGCAATACAGAGAGATGCACGTTGAAATAGATACTTTATATTGTTTAATGAATAGGAGAAGGTTTGCTTAGATTTACAAGTATTTGACATTACCAGGCTCACCTGTATCCCCAGGCTTGGATAAATGGTGAATCTAGTCAATTTTTATCATGCAACATCTTTAATGATTTTTTTTTTTTTTTTTTTTAATATATAAAGTTGAAGTGGAACGTGGAGCTTTAATGTTGGCAAACTCTAGATGATCTTACATCATTTGGAGTCATTAGTGCTTTCTCTTGCATGTAGCCCGGTTCAGCGATGCATTCCACGTGGATGGAATCTGCAGTCTCCAGCTCCTTAACCCGCTGCACTCTGCAGCCTTCCCCCTCGGTACAGGATGGCGAGAGTGGCTGTGGCAAGAAATGGATTCCTTACCAAATTGGTTTCTCTGGCCTCTCCTGTACAAGACGACACAGAGCTGGTTCCACGCTCTTTTTGTCTTACCTATGTCCGTGCTCAGTTTGGCTTAAAAATTGCAAGTAAATGCATTTTAAAAGATAAAAGTCTTAGGAGAAGTTGTACTCGAGCTCAGTGTCTGCCTCTTTCCCAAGGCAGTGTCTGTTACCACCAGCATTGGAATAACACTGCTGTTCTTTTAAGGATATGTGCGTTACCTCTTGCGCGACAAATAAAGGACCGTTAACTTATGTTCTGGGAGGTAACAGTATTTTGTATTTATTTGAAGTAAACCCATGGATCCAGTTGCCAATTTAGAGCCTTGAACAGTATTTTATATTTACGTATTCACAGTGCATTTCGATTGCAGTCTGTGCGTTAGCTTAATGGGACACTCTGTCACTTTTAAAACTCCTTTTGCTGTTTTTATGAGTTTGGGGGAAAACTGCCAAATTGGAAAAGAAGAAAAAGCTATTTTTCAATTTCGTAAGCAGCCTAAACCAGCCTTGCTTCTGCCTTTGTTTTTGCTTTGTGGTCTGTTAGCATCATCATGGCCACCAGCTCCGTTGTGTGTATGCACTTAAGAGACTGGTAACCTGTGATCCTGTGATCTATCCTCTAGCTGCTCTATTTTGTTGGGTTTTTTCTTTTATTTTTTTTTTCTTCTTTTTTTTTTTGGTAGCAAAACTAAAGCTGCAAGATCACCTCTAAGAAAAGCTGTTGTCTAGTTATTTAATCTCAAAGTTGAGTCCATCTTTTGGTTATTTCTAATGTATGTTTTAGGACTGTGTACATTAGAATATGCAGTTTGTAAGCTCAGGAACATTTTCTTTTCATAATGTGTGATCTCTAGTATTGCTATCTTCCTATAGTTTTTGATAAAATAAATTAAATTTAGTTTTTCTCTTGTTGTTGTCATTCTTAAAAAAAAAAAAAAAAACCAAACCAAAAAAAAAAAACCACGTATAAACCTTAGTCTTCAACATTAGCTGTAGCAGTAGAATTTGCTTTAAGACTGCAACCTCTTAATTCCTGTCCACATTTTCTAGCGCTGTAAGGGCTGTAGTAGAGCGATCACAAGGAAGTCATGCGTTTCCTTGTCAGTTTATGGCTGATAAGAACTGGTATAAATTTTCACTGTTGCCTTCTCTACTGCAGACTGGGTTCCTGCATATTTAAGTACGCTGTAAGCGCAGTGTATGTGTAGTACAGTTTAGGAAACCAGCCCAGAGGAGTTGTTCTGTGCTGTATGACTTTATTCACAGAGGTAGTTACAGCAGCAGTTTTACTCACTCAAGCTGGCTGGAATGAAAAAAGTTGATAGGCCATGTTTGGAAATTATGTTCACACATCCCAGGAATGGAGTGGGCAAGGTGACAGGAGAAATACGTGGACTTCAACAGCCCTAAAACTGTACATAGATGACAAGAAGTTTTTCTTTCTTCTTTTTTTTCCACTCCCTCTCCTGCCACTGTTCCCCGTAGCAGAAGGCTGGCTGGTTTAACGTCCACACATGGCTAATGACGGCAGAGAGGCTGAAGACATACTTGGAAGGGAGAGCTGTCAAACTAAAAGTCTGTTTAATTCTTTGGGACATAACGCCACACTGATTGGAAACCTTATGGATTTTTAGATGACTTCTGCTGTTCAGACACTTCCATAGGCACTGCAGTCTAACAAAAACCTGCATTACATTTCCATTTTGGAAGCTAAGAATTTTGGCAAGGAGTCAGTTATGATGGCACACATGCATGGAGGATCTATTGTCTTGATTTAAAAAAGAACTCTGAACGTGTCTGAACTCTGTCAAGTCAACAGAATGGCGCCAGGGAGGTGAAGTTTGGCAACAGAAGAGCCTTGAGTAGCGTAAGCACCTGTCCAGGGTGTCGCTGTGAGTTAGCCACTGCTGGCTTTGGAACCAGATGCCTCAGGATTTTAAGTGGTTCTGAAAAACAACTCAGAACAAAGCAAAACATGGAGGAACTGATGACAAGTCGTTTGCAATGAGTTAGATTTCAGCCACAGACAATGGTGTGTTGGGAGTTAAATTCGGATGAGAACACTTACTCAGCATGAAGAAAGGCTGCTTGAAAAGAACAATTTTATTTTCTTTTTGTAAAAAAACCTTTTGTCATTAATTCTCTAGTCTGTTCTGCAGTTGCGTTTAAAAATAACTGCAGTGAAAACTCAGGATTAAAGGCAAAGTGCAACTATTGCATTGTTTGCGTGGTCATTCCTGAAGGATGTCTTACTCCTCCCCACAGTTACAACTGTGGTATTTTATTAAAACCTGAGATCACACATCTCAAAAGCAACCTCTTAGAGCTCACGATAAAGAGAAACACTAAATTTCATTTAGTGTTGTACCCTTAGTTTTGCCTGGTCCATTTTTTGTCTTGCAGTCCTGGAGCACCGAACCTCAGGAGGTAGAAGGCACTACGGTCCCTCCTAGGCACGCTTTATTTTCAGTGTTTCACAGAAGGAACAATGAAGTTACAGAGGCTGCAAATTCCTACTTCTGACAGTAAGGTATTTCTGAAAAAAGAAAAAAAAAATGCACAAACTGGCAGAGCTGCAGCTAGTAATCGGCACTGAAGAGAAAAAGCATCCAGGGTTTAAGAAACAAATTCTGGTATTTGTTTTCATGATGGCATCAGTTACACCTGTCTCCAGGAGACTTTTTTTTTTCCCCTCATCGAGTACGCTTTCACCTGCCACTAGCTGCTTGTACAAACAGTGCAGTTCATCTGGCCGAGGCACTTCAGCATCAGGAGTCGGGGGGATTTTCCAAGTCAGAGGAGCCCTGGGAGTCCCTCCTCAGTTCCAGATCGGGCGTCATGGAGCTGTCACTGATTTCCACCAGCACATCAGGAACATCAGCAGTGCTGGCTTCTGCATCTTTCTCACAGTCTTTGCTTTTCAAGTCACAGTCAATCTCTTTGGCACAAGATCTATTTTGAGCCACTGGCTTCCACCTCCTGGTGTCAGGCTGACTGTTTTTGACAGCCTCCTGTGATACAGAAACAACCGTTCTGCTCCCACCTTTGCCAAAGCAGCTGAAGTCGAAGGCATTTCTTTCCTGGGAGGTAATGAGCACTGTGTCCGTTTGGCTGTCCCAGCCCTGGCTCCCCTGCTCAGATATGTGTGTTGACTGAGAAGAATTTTGTGAGGAGATGTGTGTTGAGTCGCTTACTCCATCCGAATCGCTGAAGAGCGACTGGGACCCGCCAGCGTCTGCCGAAGATGGGAAGGCGTCCTCGTTTTCAGAGCTTTCTTCCAGTTTGTTACGCTTGAAAAATGCATCCCAGCAAGGGACATCGGCATTGGACCCCTGTTGGTCACTAGCCCTTCCATTGAGACTTGATGCGGAAGTGGCATCTGGCTCAGGGGAAAGAACTTGAACTATATTTATTTCAGATTCATCGTCATCATCGTCATCTCCATCGTCATTGGATTCCTCACAGTCCATGAAGTCTACCTTGGGGGAGGCATAAGTTGTGGTCGCTTTGTAACTTTCTGTGCTCTCGTGAATGTTCGCTTCAGCACTTTCAGATTGTCCTGGGCTGGAGGGCCTGCTCCCTTCTCTCTGCTGTTTTGGAATCTTAGGCCTTGCAGGAGTTAATTCAGAGTCAAAAAGATCCTCTTCATCTGCCATGAAAAGAACAGAAAAGAAAACACTAAGAAAAGTTCAGCTCCCTGATAAAATCCTGTTGAGAGCAAAGTTCAAATAAAAATCCATTTAGTATGAAGAGAGGAAAAATTTCTTTAACCCGGGTGGAGACTTAGCAGGACGTTCTTGACAGCGTTTGCCTTGCCTTGCCCAGCGCAGCACCATACAAGGAAAGCCGCTATCTGTCATCCTCCATCACAGCTACAGCAGGTCAGATGTAGCCCTGGCAGACACTCAGACCTGTTTTGCCAGGACTATCATCGCCCGTGCACACTTGGCACTTCAGAAACAGCCAGAGAGAATGCAGCAGGCCCAAAACTGTTTTCTAGGTCCTAAGGGGCTTTCCAGAGGCTATGTACAGCATCCATCTGCCATCATAAATTTAAAAAAAAAAAGCTGTGAGGGGCTAAAAAGCCTCTAATGAAGAGGAGCTATTCTGCTGATAGACCCCTCTGTCCTCCACGACACAGGAGGTGATACAAGTAAAGTTCTGTTAGAAACAGCTTTACTAGGGATGGTCTAGGACTGCGGAAAGGAACTCTTCCAGAAACTTAAAAGAACTGTTAAGCATTAAGTAAGTTTAAGATTGCAAACGAGTTCACTTTTACACAATTAGTGCTCTCTCGGCGTCCTAAAACCTAAATTGACTTTAATTTGTATTTCTCCTTTCTAACTCTTGCTTTGAACAGACATGCTGTGCTGAACACCATGGCTTTTGGCACCTCTGCTTAGCTTCAGGCTTTTGTTCAAGGCACAGTAGCACCAGCAGAACCTTTACCTGTATCAGGTAAGTCTCTCTTGAGGACTCTCTTCAGCTTTCCTAAGGGCTTGTACCTGGGTTCCATGTTTCTCCTGTACGACCTGCATAATGGCTTTAATCTGAGGTGAATAAGAAAGAAGATCAATATTTAGAACTCAGCAGATAAATTGAGTTAAAAGTTCCTGAAAGTAAGTACACTGCTTTGTGCCTTTCACAGGCACTGCAGCAAGAGTTACAGCAAAGGCAGCAATCGCTAGGGAAAAGTTTGTAATTCATTGGTGAGTTTAGGCAGCTTACAGGCAGAAATCTGTCATTTCTATATATTTACCTTAAAACGTGTGCTGTTTGGAAACTATCTTTTAGTCCCTTGCTTAGAGAAGACAAGATGACAGGGTTCAAAATCTGTTTTATTCAATAACTGTCTCTTTTGAGGAGCAAAAGAAAAAGGAACAGAGAAATGAGTCCTCATTTTGTTCTGAGTGACACCACTCTTCTGCTCCATAAGCTTTCTAAGCTGCCAACATCTGTAACAGCACAAGAGTACAGGCCTCTGTGATGCTGTACAGAGGCTAAGGAGTTCAAGTCCCCAGAGAAATCCTCTTTAAAAGAAACTTCCAAGAAGTAGCAATGACAAATAGAAATAGGTCACAGAATAAAGCGAGATGAATGTGTACTCAGACTCCACCCAGAGCTGATCAGCAGCAAAGCCTCTGTACGTAGATATGAGTAGTGTGTGGAATACAGACTCTCAGCACAGCATACAAGTGTTCTTCAGAAAGCTGAAGTCTGCAGGAGTGGGTATAGAAAGAAAAACCTGAATTATCAGTTGAGCGAAGCAAAAGGCAGTGGCCCACTGAGAGGCTGGGGTTCATGAGGGGAGCCGTCCTTAGGAGAACAGGGATCAGATCACCTCCATTCAGCACCCACTTGTCACTCACATTTCCATAACTTTGTCTTCTGTCCCACCCACTGGCAGTACGTTGGGGTACACGTTCACAGGGCAGATATAGCTTAGGAAGTCCTTAATCTAAATTGAAGAAAAGCAGCAGCAGTTTAAGAAGTTACACTGACAGTTAATGATTTCATTTAATGGCAGTACTGATGAAAGCACAGGCATGGTAAGTACTACCAGTTGTCTCATGTAGAGACGGGCACGACCCATGAGCCAAACTCCACCAGAGGGGCAGCTCCTAACAGGAAAAAGTGTCTGAAGGGATGCTGAGAACTCGGCCTCACCCAGCCGCCTCACAGCCTCACCAACTGCTACGCAGACCACCGCCATCTCTGAAAGAAGAGGCCTCTTCCTGCCATCGATCTGTTCAGACCTGCATTTTTCTTACTGGACTTCAAGTCCCTTAGTTGCACAGATCAGAGCATTCCCCTCTTCAAAGACTAAAGCCCCTCTTCAGTCCGCTATAAAAGCTCATATGACAAAACACATCACTGTCCCCAAGCCTTACTCTGTTGCCTTATAAATACTCTCCAGACAGTACATTTCTGGAAGAATTGTGCCCGGCCTGGGGCACTCCATGCCAGCTGAGGCTTTATCAGTGCTGAGCACTGAAAACAGTTGCAAGTTTGCAGATTACACTCCTGTCTACACAGACCGGTAGCACCCATCTATTTCTGCACGTGGAGGTACGAGTCTGTTACAATACGCTACCCCCGTATTCTGCCAGCAGAGCTGCTGTGTTGTTTGGGCAGCATTAGTACCCCCAGTTAAAATTCTGCCTGGCAGAGCAAATTAAAACTTAACCAGGATCTTCAAAACAGGACTGTCTTCCTAGGGCTCTGAACAATCTCCACTTTGTATGGGCAACACTAATTGTTAGCAGTGATCCAGTTTCAGTTCAGTTTCTTAGGAGAAAGAAGTATTTTAAGAACTGGATCCAGTCACATGAAAGGAAAGTGTGTGATTTGGGGGAAGATGCTGCCGTGACCAATTTCCTTTTGTTTTTTAACACAGAAAGTGTAACAGCGGCAGCTACAATGTGAGAAAGTTCTGTTTAAATGTGTGGGCAGGGAAAAAAGGCAAACCCACCCAAAACTGAGTCACAGGAGATAAAAAATGCATTGAAAACCAAAATGCCAAGCTTTAAAGCACTGTATAGTTACATAGTAATCTAAAACGGAAAGGCAGTCAACACAATTGTAGCAGTGACCAATACTTCCAGAAGAGAGAACAAAAAAAAAAGAAAAGCTTGTAATCCTGCCCTACCTTGACATGTTCTTCTGCAGCTATATTAAAACATAATTCTCTGTCTTCAGCATCCAGAACTTCCTATCCCCTTATGTCATACTACTGAAAAGATTTTTTTTTTATTGTGACAAGTCATGTCATCCACCTCAAAATAAGCCAAACCCCTACTTTTTTTTAATCAATGTATACTTAGTACTACAAGTATACAAACCTCGCTGTATGAAGAGTGGAAAGAGAAACAAGCTCTGTACGTACTCTCCCCAGTCCTAAAAAAGAAAAAAAAAAGAAAAGAAGAGGAGGCACAAAAATTAGGTAACTGCTCCTCACCCTCAATCAACAGGCAAGCATAACCTACTCTTAAAAAAGTCCATTCTGAGATTCAGTTATACAAGCATCAGGCAAGATGTGCACCCAAAGCAAGAGTTTTTCTGCATGGCCCAAATGCTCACCTCACTATTACATTGGTTTTCTTCATCCTTTCTCCAAACCACATAGTGGAGGGTTTGATGCTGATTATGTGCAAGGGAGTTCCATTTTGGCAAGTTAACCCACAGGGCAGCCTGTTCCCTCGAAAGCAGTCATCATCCTGTCAAATGCGATGTAAAATGAAGTGTAATCCCCACCTTTTCCCCTTGTCTTCCTTGCTTGTCTTACTTTGTTTAAAAATACAGTTTTCAAGTTTTAAATACAACTAAACTATTTCTAGTACCAGCTAATCTATCTTTTCCTTTTCTCACTTTCCTTTGCATTGAGGTACCGTTTGGCCCAGGTCTTCGGTAGCACAACAGAACCAAAACATTAGCTCCTATAACCAGTCTCCCACGGCAACGTCAGCAGAAGCTTTGCGAAATGATACACACCCGAGGATGTCGACAGGCGTGAATCTGAGTGCAGCGATCTGTAGTAATATGGTACAGGATTTCTGGCATGTTTCTGAACATATCAAGTTTGTTCACGTGTACCTAGAGAAAGGCAGAGTTTACTCTTAATTAGCTCAAAGTGTTTCACAACAAATGCTGGTAGGCATTTAAACAATTACTACCCACTAATAATAATGTCCAAGTGGAAAAGTGTTAGCCAAAAGTAACCGGGACATCTAGAACATACCTCCTATGCTGAAGAGGGATGAGTATTCATCAAAGAAAGTCAGAATATATCTGCTAACTATTAATGTCATATGGAAATGAGAAGGCTTTTATCATTCACAAGATAAAAGGAAAAGAGGTAAACACTGAGCTTGAAAACTGGGGGGTAACTTCTCCCTGGAGAGCCCAGATGTTCCAGACTGAAATCAACTAGTTAACTCATTTGGGGCACAACTGTAGCTTCTCAAGCATAGTTAATGCCCATACAGCAGCTCTCTGAACAGCCACTTCCAGCTCGGTGACTGGCTACACTCATTCCTGAGGATCTATTCTAAAGCAACAGCTACCAAAACATTACCTTGATGCCAAGTTCCTCACTGAGGTTTATGAATAAATATTCATATCCGTAGGCAGCTTTGCAATTCAGCCACACAACATGATAGCGAGTCAGCGAGGTCCAGCTTCGCACTAACTCTAGGATCCCATTTAAACACTCCTCCTGAAAAGTTTAGAAAGTGTTGTGAATCGTCATCGAAGATACTTCCAAAGTGCTGTGATTTCGTAAGGCAAAATGGCATTGCCTTGCAAGACTCACCTAACAAAGCGGTGGTTAATTAACTGGCAGCTGTAAGGACCTTTCCTCTCACAGCTTATTTACTTACCCGGCTTGGTATATGATAAAATTTGGGATCACAAAAAGTGGTGTCCAGATACACACTCTGGATGTCTTTTACTCTGAAAGAGAAACGCGATATTCGAGTGAGCAGTGCATTGCAGTACTGAGATATACCACTTCCTCTCTCCTCAAAAGGAGGCAATTCTTCCTCTTTATTGCAAAGAGAAAGTCAAAAGGGGCTTGTAACTGCAGTATTGCCTGACTGCAAATATATTTAATCCAGAATAAAAAATGAGGGGGGAAAAGAGTACATTATTCCTGAATTGCCCATGCCTGTGGGATCTTTCATTCTTTCTAAATCCCATGAATAGCTGAAGCCTCACCTGGTCCCTGAATGCAAAAGCTCCATTCTGGCTGCTTCTCCTTTCGCAAGCCTGAAATCCCCTGTATACAGCACAGTGCCATTTTCACCTTCAAACAAAAACCTACAAACAGAAACACTTTGGTCAAGCTCGACAATATAAAGCATTAAATGCCAGGTGTTGATTTGTTACCTTGCTTAGAGCAGTCTACGTGACTACATGTATGATGCAATGGAAATACTGGGCTCAATTTGGTCCTAGAGTAATTCCAGAAAAACCCAGTAATTCAGACTCAGTATGTCTGCAAAATGTGCCTAGGCTGGTCAGAGTTGGAGACAAAAGCCTCACAGATTCTGTGAGGCTAGGCCAGCTGTCTTTTGCAGCCAAAGGAATCTATTCAGGATCTGTACCAGGAAGCTGGGCACCTTCTTTTTAATGTCATACTTAAGAAATTGAGGATTTATTTTTAATCACAGTTTTGTATGTCATTTTTAAGTACAGTTTGAAATCAAGAAAGTTGTTCTTCATAGGCATGGGGAAAGTAATCTGCCCCACCAAGGTAACAACTTCTGTCTGGACAGGTCCCAGACAGTACAGTGGATTTCCAACCTTGACCAAAGCTGGTGGGCCCTGCCACAACAGTATCTATTATCTCCAAGGAAGAATTTAAAATGCACTAGCTTTTTCTCATTAGAAAAAAAAAAACAAACAACAGTACTTAGTGAGAACTCTATAGGACAAACTTCTCAGCAGAGGCATTTAGAATATTGAAAGGACGTACATGACAGATCCTGGACAGTGACCAGCTGGTAGAAGCGTCACCTCTATATCTTCTTTCTGGAAGAGATGGTTAGTGTTATTTTCACACTGTAGTAAGTACTACCAGTACTTTCATCGACACAGTGAAAGCAACGCATTACTCCCCACAGCCTCTTGCAGCATTTAGCATTGCTTTTGGACAAAGAGCAAGTCTCTTATCATTCCAACAAGCCCTGAAGAGCAACGACTACCCTTGTCATGCCAGAAGGGACAACTGAATATTGGATGGTGCTCATGAAAGCCACTCAGCCAGAAGACAGTCCTACTTCCTTGGTTCCTGGTGAACAAGCACCACAGAAAAAGCAGAACACACTTTGCCTGGAGATGCTCTACCAGGCCTGTACCTGACCTTTAAGTCCTGCACTTAAAACTTGTTAAAATAAGCCAGGAAATAGGACATGAAAAAAAAATCACAAGAGAAAAAGGTAACTTGGAGATCTAATACAGTAGAAGAACATTACAAAAAAAGAAATGCTATGATAGTAAGAAGAACTCAAGTGTTTACACATCTTGGAGAGAGGAAGGGGAACATACAATTTAGAATTGCTTGTCCACTTTGGATGTTACATGCTCATTTGAACAGTATGACTGCCCATTACAAATACAGGAATCTTTTTTTGTGACTTACCTCACCAGATGTTTCATCCACTAAAGAAATCTGAGTTGGAGTTTCAACTTCCAGTGCAACCTGCAACAAAATGAATAAATGCATTACAGGATTCACTGAACATTTTGTTCCACGCTTATGGCTAAGCATTCATTACGCAGACATCTTTAGCACCGACTGCAGCTAATGCTAAGCCTGTAAAATTAAGCCCACTTTCCCCCAGTAAGTCATGAATTTCCATTTCCAGTGGAAAAAAAAAGTTTTCTAAAAGTTGTTGAAAAATGAAATGGAGACACCCCAATCAAGGTACACATGCCTCAAACAGTTAGAACACATTGGACTTCTAACAGTAACAGCTCACGTTTCTCTAGCTGGATTGCATGCCTTATTTTTGGGTGACTGCAAAGCCCAAGACAACCCAGTCCCAGAGCACACCAGTGGGTCTTGCTCAGACAGGTCTCTGTGCTGCAGCACAACTTCTCCTCATCATTCCCTATTACCAGAAGCAGAGCCCACAAATCGCATGCAGCAGTACGGCTGTGTAGGGGTGATTAATCCATAGACTGCAATTAATCCCCTATTTTGCCATATCCTGTATTAACACAGTCCTGCAACGTTACATGCTCTGTGGCTGTCTGCAAGGTTACCGCTGCTATGCAGGCTCCTCTCCCATCCTCCTGGGTTTTTATTCCTTTGTGTCAGACAATATTTGTATACAATTCTCCTGCCCCAAAAAGCCAAAATGAAAGGAAACTCTGCTGTCATTACCCTCCTTAGATAGAACCTCCAGCTTTTCAGCTGATCCTCAGTACACTGGGTTTCACTGCACCAGATGGAGTCTCAAGACACCGCACCGCAAATTTCTGGGCAGCTCCATGAGATCCATTCAGCTAGTACTCACACAAAGATGCTAACATTTGGCTTCTCCACCAGAAATCACACCACCAATCAAACTCAGAGCTTGCTCCAAAACACAGATACATGTGTCAAAAAGTATTTTGTACTAAGAATTCAAGCCACTAGCAAGACAAATTATTTTTTAAACTTCAATACTAATTTTATCATCTACAGTTTCTGAAGCTGAATAAACTTAAGAGGCTGACTGAAATTCTGCATGCTCCGTATTTCTCAGTAGTTCTCAAATTCCCTACTGCAGTGAAACAACTGTCAAGTTTTAGACCTAAACTTACTGAAGAATTCTTCACTGACAGCCACAGTTTAGCTTCATAAACTAAATATAATATATAATATCTCCCACAGAGTTCACCCTTCATCTCTGATAGTTTAAATGTTAAAGCCAGCAGCAGACTCAAAGAGCCTCTCATGCCCTACGTACAAATAAAGGTCAGACTGGAAATCATGAAAACATTTGTCTGGAAGCTGATGTCATGATTGCTTCTTTCAGTCTGATGAATATCAAATCAGCTGTTAATTCATTTCCCACTCATGCTACAAGTAGAAAGCTTATTTATCACAAGACAAGCTTGTGAACAAGACAACCAACAGCTACTATCTGATTTAGGGCCTGTGCAGCTCATGCCATTACCAGCAGTCACTCCTGGGAGCAGCAACTGCAAACATCTGTGTGGTTTTTTAACTGTGTTGATTTGCACTAACTGTGCTTCATCTTAGACAGTACCACAAGTACCTCTAGCATCTCTTCCCAGATTAACATTTCCTCAAACAGGGATGTCAGGACCAGCACTGCCTACTTTCCTTTTACGGCTCAAACAAACTCCTAATAACTTAGAGATCTCTCCCTGCAAGAGATCTCTTCTGGGTTAAACTCAAGAGATGCCGGAAGCAAACAGACACAGGCTTAAAAACAAAAATAAAACCCAACCAACACCAACAAAAAAGCCACCATAAACCCACCCCATTTTACTTTTGCTAGTCCAAGAAGATTACAGGCTTAGAAAATTGCCACCTACGCACACTGTGCTCCTTCACACATCAAACATGCCTAAGGGATGTTCAGAGTATTTTTTACAGAGCCCAGCATCAGGTTCGTGCTCCAAATCATTAAATCTTTCTGTTTCTCAAGGCTTCATACACAGCTAGTTATCTTCTCCCTCAGCTTCATGATTAAACTAGGACCTTGAACAGAAAAGTCCCCTATTTCTTTTTTATCTCTTACCCAGACTTACCTCCTTGGACTCACTCGTATGAGTTTCTTTGGCTATGGAGCTTAAGACCCACACTTACAACCTATTTAAGGAAACTGAGCCATAACTCCCCTAAAGAAACAAGTTTCAGCTTGCCTGAAGTCCTTCTTGACTTTCCACTTGACTAGAAAACTCTCCTGTCCTTGCTTGGGGGGTAAAGCAAAATCCTTACACTATGTGATGATGTATGTACATACAGTAAGATGTGAAAAGAAACATGTTCAAGTTCAAAGCCTGCATCTGCAAAGGGAAGGAAATAAACAACTACAAGTCATACCCGTACATGACCACTGATCACTTGAATTTTGGCTCCAAACAGTGGAAATCAAGTAAAATAATTAAGTTGTTCTGTCATTTTACATCACTAAAGCTTTTTCATGTTAGACAGTCCATTTTCCAAAAAGCAAACCAAAAATAATATAACTAAAATATTATACATACTCCAAGCAATACGAGACTCTAAAGAAAGCAAAAGGGAAATGAAATAAGGGCAGGAGCAAAGAGACATGAGCAAGGTAAGGAAATGACGGAGGGATAGAAATGATCAATATACAGATGGAGGACATTTAAAGCTGAAGTTGAGAGAAAAGGATAAATTTTGGGGAAGGAAAAATAAGATTAAACAGTGACCAACAATAAATCAATCCGACATAGCAAGCAGCAAGGAAAGGTGTACCGATATAGGTACTGAAGCCCTGAAACAGTGTATCAGCACCAATACCAATATTTAGGCATTTCTGAGGAGGGGAAGCTTCCCCTTCCCTAGGATCACTGCTTAGAAAGTGTTAATTTAAAAATAAATAAAAACTCACAATGTGATTCTCCCAAAACTTGTATTTCCAGCTAGTCAGCAGCAATTCCTTAGTTACTGGTGAGCAGTATAATTTAACTTTCAAGCTGTGAGGAGACAAAACACACAGATGAGTGGTTTTTTTAAAGCAGAGGCAGAGAACAATCTAACGATGCATCAGCACCTGGCACCTAGTACATCAAAACACGCACTCAGACTCCTCTCTCATCTGAAGAGACCTGCAGAACAGTAAGCCTGCAGGAGCAGTTTTAACCCAACCTGAAGTGGGATCAAGGTGTAATTACCTGTCCTTGCTGAGTGGGCTTTTCTTCCACACAGCAGACCCAAAGACTTACCTATGTATGCCCATGCCTGTCTATTTTTATGCAGACATAAATGAAGTGTGTGGTACATAGTCACGCGTGTCTTTGCTTGTTTCTATACCCACCAAGATCTGTTTCAGAGGTGCGTGCTTTCCCTGGAACAGGCATTGGGGACACTTAGCAGAACACAGAATACTTCCTATACAGCTCTAGTTTTTGCACAGCGCGCAGAGACCTGGTTAGCAAAGAGAGATTCTCTGCTCACATTTGACGAAATTCAACACCTACTTTAATAAATTAAACAGTGCCTAGGGACTGGCCCACAACCTCCCTGGGCCCATTCCCATGTTTGACCGCTCTCACGGTGAAAAAGGTGTCCTTCTGTTATGCACCTCCAAGAAGAGTCTGGCTCCATCTTCTCTGCAGTGACACGTGGTTGTCTCCTACTCTTACGGCTGATGACAGCCAGCTCTCAGCCTCTCCTCACACATCACATGCTCCAGCCCCACACCAGCTTGGCAGTCCTGCTCCAAAACACCAATGCTGTGTTTTGTCCAGGGGAGCCCAGGACTGGACTCAGTACTCCAGACAAAGTCTTACAAGTGCTGACCAAAAACCGTCTCCCTCAAACTGCTGGCTACCTGCTTGTTCATACACCTCTGAGTGTAGCTGGTCTCCTTCACAGCACAGGCACAGCTTTGTCTCCACACACCAACAACACGCCCTGGGAATACCAGCAGCAAGGATCCTTGTGAAGTTCATAAGCCTCATGAAATTCAACAAGGCCAAGTCCACCTGAGCTGGGGCAACCCCCACTATCAATACAGACTGTGGGATGAGTGGATCGAGAGCAGCCCCCCAGAGAAGAACTTGGAAGTACTGGCAGACAAATAATTGGACATAATCCAGCAATTATGTGCTTGCAGCCCAGAAGACCAACTGTACCCTGGGCTGCATCCCCAGAAGCATGGCCAGCAGGGCGAAGGAGGGGATTCTGCACCTCTACTCCACTCTGGTGAGACCTCACCTGAAGTGTTGCATCCAGCTCTGGGGCCCTCAGCACAGGAAAGACATGGACCTGTTGGAGCGGGTCCAGAAGAAGACCGTGAAGACAGAAGAATGGAACACCTCTCCTGTGAGGCCAGGCTGAGAGAGCTGGGGCTGTTCAGCCTGGAGAAGGCTCTGGGGAGATCTTATTGCGGCCTTTCAGTACTTAAAGGGGGCTTGTAAGAAAGATGGGGACAAACTTTTTAGCAGGGCCTGTTGCAATAGCACAAGTGATAATGGTTTTATACTAAAACAGGGTAGACTCGGACTAGATAAAAGGAAGAAATAGATTCAGACTGGATATAAGGAAGAAATCCTTTCCAACGAGGGTGGTGAAACACTGGCATGGGTTGCCCAGAGAGGGGGTGGAGGCCCCATCCCTGGGAACATTCCAGGCCAGGTTGGACGGGGCTGTGAGCAGCCTGATCTGGTTAGCGGTGTCCCTGCTCCTGCAGGGGGGTTGGACCGGGTGATCTTCACCGAAAGGGTTGTCAGGCTCTGGAATGGGCTGCCCAGGGAGGTGGTCGAGTCCCCATCCCTGGAGGTATTTAAAAGAAGGATAGATGAGGTGCTTAGGGACAGGGTTTAGTGGTGGGATGGCTGGGTTAGGGTAACGGTTGGACTCGATGATCTCAAAGGTCTTTTCCAACCAAAGCGATTCTATGATCTCCGAAGGTCCCTTCCAACCCAACCCACCC